TCAAAGCCTGCCTGGACGAAGTCCTGTGTAACATGCGCTAGGAGAACCTGCTTTAGCAGGGGGGTTGGACTAGATGATCTCCCAAGGTCCCTTCCAACCCTTGTGATTCTGTGATTCTGCACTGTGCTGCTTCAGGGCCTCCTGAGCATCCACTATGTTGCAGAGACAATGCTGCTGACGTGCGGAAAACAGACTCCACAATCTGTAAGATGGTACAGTAGGTATGTTTATTCAGCGCTGGGCAGCACGGGGGGTAGTCCCACCAAAGTCATGCACACCGCAACCCGGCAGCTTGCTCCGTGTATATCTAGCAAAGTGTTACATGTACATGAAGTTTCCCACTATGCCTATACATAGGCATAACCTGTCCCCGCTTCGTATTAAAATTAGTTTCAAGAGGTCATTTCCATAAGTCACTGCCGACTGCGCATGCTCAGTGATTTGGGTTGGTGGTCTTCAGGGGTCATTTACTTCATCCACTCCTCTTCTTCACCTTGTCCTTTTGGTGAACTCCAGCTTCTACCCCCCTTATTCCACTGTCAGAACAACACAGCCGGTACCAACCCGGCTCCCCATCCTTGGCTATCTTCATATTGACAAGTGCTAGAAGCTTTGTTCTCCTACATGCCTTCCAAGGCCTGTAACAAAGATGGGCCATTTGCTACTAATCTCTCCTCTTCCTACAGTGTTAGTTTCTTATCTATAGTTTACTTCATATGATTACTAAGTTAACCTAAAACACAATGCTAGCAATTCAAGATGGATATACAGTTGGCTTCACAAAGGTCCTTTAGTTAACCCTTTAGCCTCCCTTCACTGGCTTGGAGGGGCCTGAACTGGTGCAGCCATTGCTGAGGTCCTTTCCATGTCCCACCAGCCACCTTGGTAATTTCCAGAGCACAGCCAGCCTGTGCCTCAACTGCAAGGGGCAGGACACACTCTCCTTCCTATGTCTTCTCAGGCAGCAGTGCCCATGGCCCTGGCACAGGCATGGAGAGCATGTGGACTCTAGACAGGCTGTGGAAGAAGGGAAGCATGGCTGCTGATATGGAGAGATGACAAAAGGATAAGGTGCTGCAGGAGCCAGACAGTAAAATGGAATGGTACAGGGCAGAAAACTTTCTACTTGCAGTTCATTTTCCTTGTTTCCAAAAACCCTGTTGCAAATAGCAAGTGTGTTTTCCTAAATGCCCCAGGCTGTACTTGAGAGAGGAAATACCTCTTAACATCTGCAGGGCTAAGACGTA